GTCTATTACCATTACTGTCCCCTGAGGTTGGACTGCCAGAGGCTGACCCACTGCCACAACTTGCTGGTGAGACTCACTTGATGGGCTTATCATCATAACATTTTGGCCCTGAATGGAATATGCTAGGACACAAAGGAAAACCTAAGTAATTAAATTATACTTCTTATATTGCGTTCAAAGTAATGTCATATTTTAAAATAATTTGCTTAAACCACGTTCAACCACAACACTGACTTAACTACCAGTAACACTTAAGTAAATATTAAATAATTTTCCATATAACTTGTGAAAATTTTAAAACTTTAGTAATTTCTTCATAATCAAAATAGAATTAAGGCACATTAAATATCTTTATACATTACTCATGGCACACGTTGCTAGTTAGTGATAACGCATTTTCAGTGTGTATCGCTGAGTATCACATTTAAATTTATGTGAAACAAATTTCAGTGTTTCTGAGTGTCAGCTTAACTTAAGACATTGCAAACATTACTGTTCTACTATTTCCATTAAAAAAAATCACCACCACCACCATTTATTTCAGCAGTTATTTTTAGCTTACAGATTTATTTTATCCTCACAATTACTGTTTAAATTGGCATTATAGGTTGATTATCCCCTAGTTGGAATGCTAAAGATCAGAAGTGTTTTAGATTTCAACTTTTTCAAGATTCTGTGATATCGTATTACACATTTATGCATGCTTTTGTATAACACATTTGCATCATATACTTATGCAATGAGCATTTCCCTGAGCATCCATGTTGGTACTCAAAAATTTTTGGACTATTAGAGCATTCTGGATTTCAGATTTTTGGATTAGAGATACTCACCTACATTATTCCCCACACTTCCATTGTTTTAAGTCGACAGAAGAAATTAAAGGTCAGGGACAGTAACTTTCCATGGTCACAGAAGTAACGAGTGGGACAGCAGAGGCTAAAACTCAGAATGTCTAGAGCCTTTTCTCCACCCGCGTCCCCTCCCAGACAGAGCCAGCCTGAGGCTCACCTTTGTTGGAGAGCGTAGCCGCGGTGGTGGTGCTCAGCACTGTGAGCGCGTAATGGGGAGGCAGGGAGCCTTTGCATATCGCAGTTATAAAGGCATCTCTTGAAGTTACAAGGCCCAGTCTTCCACAAAGAGCAGCCATGGTCAGTTCAGCTTTCAAAATATTCTCAGTGGCAGCTTCATCTGTGCTGAAAACAAAGTATTTTATTTAATCTGATAAACTTATTTTTAATTTTTTATTATTTCAGACTAGTATATGGGTTAGGTTACACTGTTTGCATTAGGTAAAGTCTCAGTTGTGGTTGAGCCCTTCACCCAGCAGGGGCGCCACACGCCCCTATGTTGTGCCAGTTAGGTGAGAGCTTACCAATATTAACCTATCGTCAAACACAACGTAAAATGAAGTATTCAATAAAGTTTTATAAAAATCTCTATAAAACTCTCACAATAGTACCAATACAATAAAAAGAATAGCACCAACATACTTAAGAAGGAATTTTAACTAATTAACATAATATTTGAAAATCTGAACTGGGTAAAAGCAATGTACAACACGCGTATTTATTATTGAAGAAAATGACCAAGAACACAAAGTCTTAACATATCAAACATTTTAAAATGAGCAATTTCTTTAGTCCTAAAAACATGAAAGAAACTGAACAGAATCATTATCATTACAAAAGCAGTAGTAAGCCTTGAAATGAAAAACGCATTCTACAGCTCTAAGACCGTATTTATCCTTAAACACCAGGACAATTCCGGCAAAGGAGACGGCAAGGGCGGGGTAAAGGATGGAGGTGCCGGAAAAGCGCTGCGTTCCCCACACACACAAGCTAAGGTCAGGAGATAACTCTTGGGACAAATTTAGGTGAACCACTTTAACTGCGGTTGCTTTTCTTTAACCCACGCAGGGCGACATGAAACTGACAGAGACTTAGTACCTGGCGTCCAGCAGGAGGGAGAGGGCGGCGAGGAGGCCACACCAGCAGGCGTTCACCATCTCCTCCCAAACAGCTCTGCTGACTGAAAGAAAGAAACCAACTTAATCACAACTACAGGTGTCAATTATTTACCAACACGGCAAATTCTAAAATCTCTCCAGCCACTTGACAAGATGTAAAATATTCCATCAACAACTCATTTATTAAATCCTAAAGCTCAATGCTCAGAATGTATCTTAAAAAAAAAAAAACAAAAAAAAAAACTGAGAAGCCACGCTCTAGTTTCAGACTTTAAGAGGTTTACAACTAAGTTATTTTAAAATATCTTTAGTAAGGTCTCAACAATTAACTGACTGATTTTGTTTTTAAAAATACCTAACATAAGTTCCTATTTTCTTCTCCTTCATCAAGCCTGTGTGACCAGGTGGGAGTGAGGTGGGTACAGCATAGCAAGCTAGCTCAGCCAAGTAAGTTACACTACTGGAAATAAAGCAAATAAGTAAATGCATTTAGCAAAATGGGATCAGGTTTCTTCCCTGAAGAAAGGAATTACATATATGCAAAGTGAAACCTTGTGGAATTAGGTTGCAGAAAGTGGCATGACATCACCACATACAATGTAGAAACAGAAAGAGATATTTTTAAAATGTGGAGCAATGTGTGTGCGTGTGGGTATTTCCTATCCAAGTAGTAAGAAGCTACCTAGTTCCCATGTAGTAGTTTCAATACTATTTTCTCCTACAAGGGAAAATGAATGACAGTGGGGCTGTACAAGAGACATCCAAGGTAAGCTTAGAACATCTTATCCTACTAAATAGTAAGGAAGTGCTCAAAGGATGTCAAAAGGACACAGGTCCAGCCTGAAAGAGGTTCCACTGGCCAAGTCGGGGACAATCTGAGCATCGGACCAAATGATGATAGTCAGAGACTATAATCCTCTGAATAAAACAGGAACCCATAATTCTAAATGAAAATAAATAATTTATTTTAACTTGGTAGTATCAATAAATTAATCATTGAAACATTTAAAAAATGGAAAGAGAAAGTCATCTTTTTTGTAGTAGACATCTAGAAGTATTTCTTCACAAAAACTTAATAATTAGCTTTACACTAAAGAAACGGGGCCTATGGTATGTTAACCAGATTTAAGAGTGGGTGAGTCAAATTGATAGTGTATGCTTGCTAATGTATTGATATCATAAATAAAACAGCAACGTTTCTGTGCTAGTCCTGCCAAAAATGAACAAACTGAATCTAATTCTGAAGGAAGATAATATAAACCTAAATTGACTAGCCTGTTCTCTCAAGGTCACGCAAAACAAGGAGAAACTAAGGCACTGCTCCAGACTGAAGGACAGTTAGAGACATGGTGACTAAATTCAATACCTGATCCTGGACCAGAAAGGACAGCACGGGGGCAAATGGCAAGGGTGGCAGCGGCCTGGACGGAGGGGACGACACTGGACTAGGTTGAATCTCTGATGGTGACGATACTGTGGTACACAGGGACAGTCTTTACTTTGGAAAACACACATTAAAGTTTTAAGGGCTAACAGAGTATCATGTCCACAACTTATTCTCAAATAGGTCAGAACAAAGTATTCTCCTATGTACGTACTTAGAGGGAATGGTGGGACAGGTAAATGGCAAAGCATTCACAACCGGAGTCAGAGTGAAGGAGGTGTGGGAATGCTCACTTTCACAAATTCCCTGTGAATTGCAAATTATTTCAAAATAAAAAGTAAAAACATAAAATCACAGTATCATACCTATTTCCTTATCCACCTGGTCTGATGTCGACTGTGAATCTTGCTGTTCTGATGAGTGTGTTGGTGACGACGCCTCTTCGGTGGCCACTGGACACTCCGTTTCCATCTCTCCCAACTCTCCTTCAATCATACTAGTGATTCCACGAACAAGGTCCAGCAAACAGTGGAACGCCACAGACATGGCATAACCTTCTGGGATCGTTGGTGGCTCAACCTTGTCCAACATCTCTAGACTGAAATTATAAAAAAATTAGAATACTAATGAGTAACCAGATAATGAAGAGATATAAAACTACTTTTATAATTTGTAGACTA